AATAAAGCTGGAAATCCACTTTTATGAGCTGTCTCTTAATGTCAAAATACAGAATAAAAAGGCAGTTAAATGGGTTCAGCTTGATGGTTTTGAGGGTCCTGCAACTCATGCTATCAATCTGTCATCATTGACAACTCCATTTGGGATCAAATGGCGTAGAGATGCAATGTCTTCCATTGATATGAATATGTTCTCGCCCATATGCTATTTTTTAATCACTCCAAATAGAAATGACTCTATGCATTGATACATTTATACTAATATAGATATATAATGTGATAGCCATATTTTTAATAAAAAATATTCATTTTAACCCTCTCTTTGACAAGGTGGAAACTGAGGCCCAAAGAGGAAAAGAGATTTGTTGAAGGTCACAGTTATAGTGAGTTGAGAGTAGTGATTCAGGTCCCCTCTGTTGTCATCACCTGTTGACAGCATGTTTCTACAGAAGATTTCAAGCTAGGTTAAATTTACTGCCACATAAGAAAGACTCACACACATTCATATAGTGGGAATTATTACTGAATTATTTTAAAAGTTTTGCCAAGCAGCTTTCATCAGTATGGAGCTAGTTGTTTGTATCATTATACATAGACACTAATTGTCATCACTGGTTGTGTTTATGTTTAGGGATACCAAGGCCTGAGCAGAAATAAGGAACTATGGTAAAAAATTGATCTGTGACACTGACCCATTACACAAATTACTGAAGGAAACAAGGCACTGGGAGCCAGAGATGGGAAATGGAACCTACAAATGGTGGGATGATAGTTTGGTCAGAGGCTGGGGCCTGACCCGTGAGGAATATATGGCTGTAAAGTCTGGAGAAAGTGTCATATCTGAAGATGAGGTTGAGTTGTGAGACAGAGGATAAACTAGCAAGGAAGACCTTCCAACAGCGAAACTATATGCTGGGTTATAAATTGAAATAACAGCTCCATTTACTCTAGTGAAAACTATCTTTAAAAGTAAGAGTTTTTGTCCATACAGATCAGCGGTGAGGTAGGGCTCTGGCCAATGTAGGCTTTCAATAGGGAAGAATGGAATGGCAGCCTGAGGGTAATAAGACCAAATGTTTCTTCCCAAATACTGAGCAAGTAATGTTCTCCAACATGCACGGGTTCATCACAACACATAGACATTGGTTCCTCTGCAGCTAAGTGTGCCATTTCAGCCATGGCCTTGGGATAGGGCCACACAGAATAAAATAAAATGAAATACTCTGGGATTCATTGTCCAAATTCATTGTTTGTCAATGTGTGTTCTGGGACTTGGATCAGTAAAGCAGTTTCAGGCATCTGGCTTGGACACAAGAATGGTATGGCCAGCATGGGTGGCTGTGAAGAAACCTCTAGCCACCTCTAACCAAGAGTGAAGACAGTTTCAGGAAAAATAAGTCCTGAGGTGGCTAGACAGAGAGCTCCTAACATGACCTGAGGCTGGGATCTGCAACTGGAATCTGACAGACTGGGTGAGCAGACTCTAAAGTCAATAAAGATCGATCCTGGAGACTCCTTTTCATGACATGATGCCATGAACAATACTGTCATTTTTCAGCACCAGGGGTTTTGCCCCTGATGGGGAATAGGGTTTGTATGATCTTAAAGCTTTCCTTATCAACTTCATATATATATATATATATATATATATATTCATAACGCATATTTAAAATGCATATATATCCTTATGTTGCATATATTAAACCCATGTTAAAGAAATGAGGAAATGGGTGTAGTAAGATTAAGTAATCTAAGGTCACCTAGCTAACAAGTAAATGGTAGTGCACATTTCCCCTGCTATCCAAAAGTTCACTTTAGGCCAATTTGCTTTTATGAAAGACCTACGTTAGTACCTGCTTTCACAAACTGGAAGGAAATTTAAGAGGCTTTTTCCTTTAATGAAAAAAGGCATAAGGCCAAAATAGCGTTCAGCACTTGTTTTGCCAGCAGCCCTTATGGAGGCAACAGGCACCCTGAGCAGCAAGAGTGGTGCCGCTAAGCTCCTTCTCCAGGGACTGCACTCAGCATGTCAGCATCAAGTGCCATAGCTTTGAATCGTGTCTGTGAGCATCTGGGCTTTATCTCTACTTATCTTGGGTTATTTTTGGAGTGGGGGAATGCTCAAAAATTTTTCCAATGTATACTAATGATAATTTCTTCTTCTATTTATGCCACTTCACCTTACAAAAATTTCATAGGGGCATTCTACTTCAGATCACAGGGGAAAGGATACAGATTGGAACTCAAGTCTATCTGACTTCAAAGTCCAGTTCTTATTTTAAAATCTCTCCCTTCTTGATCATTTTCTTAAACAAAAACAAAATAGAAGCAAAAACAAAAATATGCTGCTGTTCTGACCTTCTTAAAGGCTATTAAATCCGTGTTTTTAAAGGAAAAGGTATAGAAAGAACAGTAAGAGATATCTTTTATCCTTAAACATACATATGAAAGATGGCCAGTGAATCCAATTTTACATAACATGAATAGGTTTAATTGTATAGATATGAATATATTTAGCATACTTTAATAAAGTTGATTAAGTGTGGAAGGGGTTTGAACAATGATATAGAGGTCCTAATGTATGAAATATCTTATGAACAACAAATCAATTATTTGAGATTATAAAATAAGTTATCTAAGAGTAATAAATATTTTCATCTGTCTTAAAATTCTGTTCAATTATTAATTGAAGATATTTAACTTGCTGAAAATTGCATTTTTGTTTTTACTGGGTTGAAAGAATTTTCAGTTTCTTTTACACAAATAATAAAGAGTAGTTAAATAGAACAATAATCATTTGTAAAATACACTAGTATAGATAAAAATATCCTCAAATGTTTGTATATTAATGTGATATTAAGGTAAAATAAATAGTATGCAAAAACTAAACAGTGTACTTTCTGTATTTGAGTCTTTAATACTGCAGTGAGAGTGAGTTTATATTGGAGAAAACATAGGCAATCAGTGGAGATTGTTCTCAAGGTTATGTAGAGACTTTGAACCCCACAAAGATACATTCTCATACGTAGATAAGTTGAAAGACTTCAAGTGATATGCCCCTTTTTATTGACTGTGTCCCAATGTGTCTTTTTACATTGATAAGCTTCACCTGTGACTCACATAAGGCAGTGATGAAAGGTTAATTGTGTAGATTGGAGCTGGGCTTCATTGATTTCTCTGACACCACTGATTTCTTGTTTTCCCCAACTTCCCCTTCTCTCCATAGCCCCTCCGGAAAGGTCTCTATCAGCTGCTAAATATTAACCCACAAAAACCCCGAAAGCTGGGCGAGTGTGTGTTTACTCATGCTAATTAAAATATGATATTGATCATTCATCTGCAATCCAACTAATTAAATAGATATGATTTCTGTCCATGGTTTTGGAGAGATATCATGCAATAATATTTCCTCTGAAATGAGAAAATTCCACTTTGAAATTACAACATCTAATTGTGGTGAAAGTCTTCGGTAGTGTTGAGAAGCTGGAACCAGAAATCACTTCACATTGGTTTATTATGAGCTGTGACAACTCCAAATGGGCAGAAACAAAGATGAGAGTAGAAGCACACACACCCCTCCCTAGGGAGTTTTTAATGTGTTTCATTCTTATGATATTTGATGTGCATAACACAGCACATTTTATACACGAGAGCAATATATAAAATTACATAAGAGGATGTAAATGAAAAACCTATATGACACATTACTCTCTCCTTCCAGAACCAAAAAGAGTGTCTCCATGTTCTTTTCTTGACAACAACCTAAAATAAAATGAATAACTTGACAACCTGAAATAATGTTATGTGTTTCATATTTGGATTACTTGTTAATTGATTACAGTGAGAAAAATATAAGAAATTGTTATTAGAACAAATATTAATATAATCTAACATCCAGATACTCAGCAAAGACCACTATTAAAGTTGTTTTAGAATAGGATTACAGTTAATTTCACAGATACACAGAGAGCCAACATAAATAATTGCATAATGGAATACTAATATAAGTACTACTTTGATCTTTTGTTTTTATTAAACACATATATTAGTTAATAACTGTTCCTCTCAACTTAAATTGTATCAATTGACCATTACAGTTTTTTTTTAAATTTTAACCAGCACAATGCTATGAACATTCCAAGGGAGATACAGTCCTCTTCTCCAGTGCCCTTTGAGAAAGAAGGTGCAGATACCTACCCCTAACTTCCATTCATGAAGTTTCTGTACAGTTGTCAATTGCACCATGTCTGTTCTCTAGAGTGAGGGCAAGAAGGAAATCCACAGCCTGAATGTGAAGACTGTGAGATGTAATATAAATCCAGAATGGCTGATCCTGGGCATCTCTGCTGCTATAAGTAGGGTGGAATGATGAAGAATACAGGATCCAAGAAGTTCCCTACATTAAATGATCCCTGTTCCTGATACTTATTCAGTCTGACCAAAGGACAGAAAGCACAGATGGATATCATCAATCATGAACATACTGGAATAAAACAAAATAAAAAGAGGCTTTCTTCTTTTGGTAAATTTACAAAGACCTTTTTGCATCAGTTTTTAAAGGATGCTCATTCATTTAGTCAATATTTTGAATGGCATCCTGGAGTCAAGCATTGTAACTAACGAAGTAAAAATATGGGTGAACAAGACAGACAAGTGACTTGCAATGATGGAACTTTGAGTCAGGGCAGGAGTTTTTCATTTACTCATATGTATTAATTTACTACTTGTATACTTCTTAGTGTTATGATGGAACATTCATAGGGTGATATTAGTACTTAGGAAGGATACAAACAAACCTAATTTAATCCGCTAATCCTCCCTTCTGTCTGAGCAAGTTTGTTAAACTCATTGTTAAAAAAAATAATACTTGGGAGGGCCCGCCCAGTGCCACAGCAGTTAGGTTTGCACATTCTGCTTCAGCGGCCCGGGGTTTGCCGGTTTGGATCTTGTGTGCAGACCTATGCACGGCTTGTCAAGCCATGCTGTGGCAGGCATCTCACATATAAAATAAGGGAAGATGGGCACGGATGTTAGCTTGGGGCTAATCTTCCTAAAAAAAATAAATAATTGGAGCTTTAAGAGGGTAAGTTGATTTGCCGTGGATGGAGGGATTGCTCTACCAATGATATCTCACAGGGGTACAACCATAAACAGAGATGGGAAATATAAAAATATCCTCTTTGCAAGTTAACTTATTACTTAGTCTTTCTTAGCTTGCAGAGAAGATTAAGATCAGAAATGACTGCTCCCTAAACTCAATTTAAGCACAAAGATAATTAATGTAAAATATCTAAAAGATACGTTGGTGACACTATAGGAATCTATGTCAAAGTAACTGAATTTTAGCTCTCAGAATCTTTGAATAAATATTTTTTGGTGAAAACACAGTGTCACCCAGAAGATAATTTAGTGCTAATTGCTTTTTTCAGGGCACTTTTTACATCATTATTCCTTAAGCTGTAGATCAGTGGGTTTAACATAGGGATGACAACTGTGTAGAAAACAGAGGACATTTTGTCTGTGTCCATGGAGTAACTCGAGCTGGGTCGCAAATACGTGAACAGGAGTGTAAGATGAAATATAGCCACAGTGGTTAAGTGGGAGGTGCAAGTAGAGAAAGCTTTGCGTCTTCCCTCAGCTGAGTTCATTCTAAGGATGGTAGTTATGATGTAGCTGTAAGACAGGAGGACAGTGATGATGCTGCATCCCAGAACACAGCTACCAAAAGTGAACAACACAATCTCATTGATGGTTGTGTCTGAGGTGGAGAGGGCTAGTAAGGGTGGGATGTCACAGAAAAAGTGATTGATGATATTGGAATTGCAGAATGACAATTGAAATGTGCAACAGGTATGGATTACTGAATCGACCAAACCTTCAATGTACACAATGGCCACTAGCTGGGTACAGACTCTCCTGGACATGGCACTTGTATAAAGAAGTGGATTGCAAATGGCTACATAACGGTCATATGCCATGACAGCCAACATGAAACATTCTGCATTGGCAAAGGCCCCAAAAAAATACAACTGAATGGCACACAAATTATATGGAATTGTCTTTTGCTCAGATAAGAAATCAGCCAGCATCTTGGGAGTGATAGTAGAGGAGTAGCCAACATCACAGAATGACAGATTGCTCAGGAAATAATACATAGGCGTGTGGAGTCTGGAGTCCGTCTTGATCAGCAGGATCATGCCTAGATTGGCAATCACAGTTATGCCATAGACCAGCAGAAAGAGCACAAAGAGCCCCTGCTGCACATCCTGTCTGTCAGAAAGACCTAGGAATATGAAGTCAGTAAACATAGTGCAGTTCTCAACAGCCATCACTCAGGTCTGGAAATTCCTGGTTAAGAAGGAAATGTAAGTGGATGGTAATATCACCTCAGTTTCCTAAGAGTTAAACTGCTGGTCCTTTCCATTTTTTAGGAATTAGAAAAAGAGATAGACAATGCTAAGTCTGTTTCTGATCTCCTGGAAATATACAATTGCATATAAATTGATAAAATTATAATGATAATAACACCACTTATATTTGTATAGCACTGTAAAGAGTTTGTAGACACTTTCATCCAAATTAAACATTATTTCTACACCAACCTATCTAGTATTTATGATAAATTTTGCGACTTCTATTTTATAGATTAAGAACTCGAAGTCCTCAGAGTGGTGGCAGTAGTTCAATTAATTGGTCTAGAACACCCACAACTTATGGCATGATATCCTGTAATAGAGAAGTACAGTTAAGTGACAGAGGCAGGTAATGAAATATGTCACTGTTTTTCCCTCATCGTCCAAAATCGTGGAGCAGCAGAGATATGGCAGTTCCTGGATAAAACACACCCACACTTCCCCATTAATCCCTCTGGTCCTATTCAGCCTCAATTAACAAGAGACAGAGATAATCTGTGATCCAGGGCCCACTGGAGTAAAGAAGGCGGTGGTTGCTGGAGAAGAGGGTGGAAAGGTCTCTGTGAGTGTTACACTACAGTGTCCAGACTAGAATACGCCAGGGCTAACCACACTCCCTCTGACAGCTGCTGTCACTGAGGGGAGATTATGAAGAATGTTTGAGACCTAACTGTAGGGATGCTGGTAGCACAGACGACAGAGAGGCAAGAAGGGAGTTTGGTTACTGTGTGAGTCCTGCTGCCCTAACCAACTAGAATCCACATGGTTTATTCACCAGAGGATCAGATGTGTAAGACACATGGTAAAAGTCCTTCTGTGTCCACAGTCCCACGATATCAGAGTGAGTCTGCACTGTGCCCCGTCCCAACTCGAAAAATTGTAACAATGTTTTATTGTTTTCTTTGATCTCTATTTCTCTTGAATGTCTCTGAAATCTGTCTCCTTTAGTTTAAATGAGTTGGTTGTCCTTGGGGGGGGGGGGGTAATTGAATTTTATGTCCCACTGTTATATTTTGCACAAACCAGTTACGTTATATATAATGTCATCCGTGACCTCATCTTTTCTGTGAGAATCTAAGAAAAGTGAATTTGAAGGGAGATAAAGGACAGTAAAAGAACATCTGAATATTGATCTAGTGATCAATGTACAGGTCTCCAAAAACTTGGTCTGAATTCATTAAAATATCGGTCCTTGTAGACACATCTTTAAGGAAATATTTTCCTTAAAAATAAAAGTATTTTTAAAGTAATAAAAGTACCAGTAAGAAATTTAAAACAATAAAAACTTTCCAATCATCTCCACAATCCATGATTGCAAATTATTGTAAACCTTGCCTATGTATACATCATTTAAAAATAAATAAAGAGGTCAATAGAAGTAATTTAAATAAAAGTTTGTATCATATCTCATATCTTCCTTTGGTTTTATAGAATGATTTCAGTCAAAAAAGGAGAAAAGGAATAAAGAAATCTAAAATATAAGTCAGAGAAACCACAAAAAATATTAGTACCTGACCCAGAACTACTGACTTCTTTGTTACATGCAGTTCTATCCGCAGGAGGGTTCAGCATTCTCTCCCGACTGACCTGGATTATATATCTTTGTGTCAGGTCCCTGGGTGTTGAACATTTGTTCTCTGAGGAATAAGTGACAGATGTAATAGTGTGTTATATCATCTGATGTTTCATACAGGCAGGGTGAATGAGAAAAATGCAGAATCTAAAAAAATTTTTCCTGTTATTACTATGTACCTTTCTGTCCAATATTGTACCAATTTACCCATGGAAAATGAATCCAGTCAAAAAGCATCCTTATTTCCAATGCACCAAATCCCATATAGGCATTTGGTTTGCTTTCCATTATTTATAAAATAAATACACTCATTCACTTATACAGATTAATATACAGAAACACTATCCCATTAAACACATTTACAAATAATGATTTTTGTAAAGACGGGAAAAACTAGTGAAAATCACATTGCGTGGGGATAGTTTAATTTTTAAGCAAAAAAGATGTCAGAGTACACATACTTTATATATAAATAAGAGGTAATCTCCCTTTCTATTAAGGTATATTAATTGATTCAATCTATACTCTGGCACTGGCCACTTGGTTTATATATAATTCTTTGTATCATATAGGCCGTAATAGAAGTAATTTGTTTTTTTTTTTTTAAGATTGGCACCTGAGCTAACATCTGTTGCCAATCTTCTTTATCTTTTCCTGGAAGTAAAATTTTACATACATGATTTCCCATAGCCAGGATTTTCTTTAAAATAAGTTCTATTAAATGGCCTTTAAGAGCAAAGAGATTTAACTTAAAATAAAGTCAATTTAGCCTATTTATCATAGTCAGATTTTATATTACCTAATTATCACCTCATATTATCATATCTTACCACATACGTCCTGACTGTTGTCTAATAACCTTGTAATATTATACAGAAACTGAAAATCAGTGGTGATAAGTAAACTTGTATAGTCCCATAGACACTGTTTCACGGAATCCATAGAAATTTCTCACAATAGATTCCTGAATATAGTGCAATGGAACAAATTTGTCTGAAAGAATAATTCTGTCAAATACCCTTATGAAATGTTATGGTGAGTTCATGTTAAAGTGGCATTCAAAAATTCCCATAGACCCCTGTATTTCTGAGACATCATTCAAGTCCCACTTCTAAATCATGGCAGGACCTCAACAGTGACTGAGGGTACAAGGGAGCAAATAGGAAAAATTGCTACAATGGGCAGTAATCTCTTTTATTTATATCAGCTGGCCACTTGAACCTTATTAAGTTGGTGTGAAGTGAAAGTGTTGCACCATTGGAGGAATCAAATAGAAAATAAAGAAATTGGTGTTCCTTGACATTGCGCAACCTGGCAGCTTAAGGGGATAGTCTCTGCACTATTTATGAGTAATGTTTTATCATGTGTGTAAATCACTGCTGGATAGGCATAGGTTGTTGTGTGTTCTTTAAATGCCTACAGTTGATTAATGTTCAAAAAATGTACAATAATCATGTACATTAGCTGTACTTCTTGAGTCTTAAGCCAATTAATTTAATTGCCACAAATATATACGTGAAAAATTTGTGTAAACAGACAAGAATTACAACAAGATATGCAAGGCATGTGCCGCGTTATACATTCTAACAGCTCAGGGAGTTTGGTATTTCTTCTGAAACATCAACTGGATTAAATAGAACCATAGGTTTTCAGTTATTTTTGTTTACATGTTTGTTTTGTTTGTTGTTATGGAGTTTGTCCCTGCTTTTAAGAAAGCTGGAATACTCTTCAGGAAAATTTCATTTAAATTAGTATCTTTATAACTTTTGGTAAACTGATTTTAATCACAATTTTTAATGCCTTTTCATAGTGTATTGCTATTCTCTGGGTGATGATCCAAACACAAAATATGCAATGGACTCCTGTGGGAGATATTGTTGATGTGAATCTCAAATCACATAAGGAATTGTCGATAATTTTCCACCAGGTAAACTCTGGAAAATTCTGTATTTGTGGTACCCAAGAGCATACTACCATTCTCTGCTTCTCTGGTGAATATTTAGAGGAGGAAGAGTCTTCCTTGGTCGTCTTCTTCTGATTCATTTCCATACTCATTTTCCCTCAGAACCTCCCTGTCTCTTGGGATGCCAAATTCCTCAGGCTACACTCTGTTTAGACAGGATCCAAACTTAATCTTCACAAATATGGCTTCCACTCTAGACCATGTAGTCTAATTTCCACTCCCCATTAAAGTCAGTGCACAGGTAACAATATGTAGTATTAAGGGCAGAGGGGTTGTCACATTGGGAGATAATCTGTTTTATTAATATTATCTGTACAGTGGAACATAATTAATATTGGTATGAAGAGAAAACCATATGGAGAGCGGTTATATTGCACAATTTCAGGAAGTAAATAGAAAATAAAGAAATTGGTGTCCTTTGATGTTGTTCAATGTGAAAGTTTATGGGGACAATCTCTGTGTTATTCAATTAGTGAGTAAAATTTTATCATGTCTGTGAGTCATTGCTGCACAGTCACAAGCATAGGCTGCTGTGTGTTCTGTAAATGCCTAAAGTTGAGTAATGATCCAAAAAATGTACAATAATCACATACATTTGCTGTACATCTTGAGTCTTAATGCAGCTAATTTGATTGCCACAAACCCATACATGAAAAATTTTCATAAACAACCAAAAAAGTAAGATATACAGATCATGTACCAGTTTATGCCTTACAGCACTTCAGATAGTTTCAAATTTCTTCTGAAAAATCACCTTGATTAACAGAAACATAGATTTTACAGTTAGTTCTTTTTACTTATTTGTTTTTGCTTTTACGGATTTTGTCCTTGCTTTCTACAAAGCTAGAATACTCTCCAGACAAATTCATTTAACTTAGTATCTTTTCAATTTTTGGCAAAGTGATTTGAGGGACAATTTTTAATCCCTTTTCATAATGCATTGCTGTTCTTTGTGTAATGATCCCAATACTAAAGTACCAAATGGACTTCTGTGGGAGATATTGTTGAGGTAAATCTCAAGTCACCTAAGTAATTGCTAGTAATTTTCCATCAAGTCAACATAAGAAAATGATATATTTATGATACCTAAGAGATTTACTACCATTCTTTACTTCTCTAGTTCACATTTAGAGGAGGCAGAGTCACCTTTGGTCACCTTCTTCTGATTCCTTTTCATACTCACATTCTGTCAGGTCTTTCTTGTCTCCAAAGGTGCATATTTCCTCAGGATACAGTCTGTTTAGGCAGGATCCAGAGTTTATCTTCATAAACATGGCTTCCCCTCCAGACTATGAACTATAACTCACACACCCCATTAAATCTGGAGGATGGTTAACAATATCTTGCCAAAAATTTGATAATCTACATTACTTCCCAAAGGGTTTGTGGGCTACTAGAGAATGACTTTCTTTAACTTTGAAGTGAAGGTACTTAAGGTAGAATTTAAGAGATCAAAGACAAATAAGAAAAAAATTCTGTATTTACATGGCTTTTCTGGTATCACTTATGCCCGTGAACATAATACTATGTAGGCAACTCTCTACCTCTAAACTCCTTCTTCCAGAAAATAGTTGCCTGGCCCTGAGGCATGCAATTATCATATAAGTTAGTGCAGGATAATGCTACCAGTAAAATCACCTTCACTACTTCTGCACTTCAGGAAACAAGAAAAGCAGTGCCTGTGGGTTATTAACATCTTTGTTGTGTAAGCAAGGAAGCACTTTTTAGTAACACAAAGGACAATCATTTGAAGAAATATTCTGTGAAAGTTGTATGCACAGAAAAGGGCACTGGAGCTCTGCAGAGAATCCCCCTGAATTACTTGACAGATGGCAGATCAGCATATGCAAGTGGAAACAATTCATGCCTGAAGAAAGAACCATCTGAAAGGATTAAAGACAGCAGGACCCAGAACTCAAATAGAGGCAGGAATTGTTCCAATTTGTTACACAGAGGGTAGAAAAAGTCACATTTCATGGGGCTTTAGGTAGAGTACTTAAGAAGGTTTACTCCATAGAGGAGAATAATTAGCACTGCTCTGGACCCACCTAAGAAATCACGAAAACAATATATGAAAGGATTAAAGTATTTCTAAATAAATGCATCTCAAAGCAAAGCTCAAGAATATTTGTAAAATACAAAATTATATAGCACCCACCAAAATAAAATTCACAATGCATGAGATAGCTTTTATAATTAATAGGCATACAGAGATAGGAAAACGTGATCCATAATGAACAGAATAACCAATTAATCAAAATCCATCAAAAACTTACATGTAAGTTTGAAATATCAAACCAGAACAAAAAATGGTTATTATAACTGTATATCATATTTTCAAAAAGGTAATTAGAGTCAGAGAGGGTATTAAGAAATTGAAATTCTAAGATAAAATGCACGATGTTCAAGCTAAAAGTTACATGGGATTGTATTCACAGCATATTAGATATTACAGAAGAAAAGATTAGTGAACCTCTAGATATAATAGAAAGTGTCCAAAATGAAACACAGAGAGTGAAAAAATCAAAAACATGAAAAAAGCAACAATAAACTGGGAGACAACCTTAAGCAGCTAAGTGTGCATGTAGTTGAACTCCCCAAAACAGAAGAGAATTAAAACTATTCAGAAAAATATAAGTGAAAAATTTTAAATATGGTAAAAATAAAAAAACTCAGATTCAAGATCCAAGATGGCAGCGTGAGCAGACTTCTTTGTCTCTCCCCCTTCGAATCTACAACTAATTGGACATTCATCGCTTGACAAAGGATATCTATATAGCATCTCAGGACGTCGGAGAGACCCATACTGCTATACATCGGAAGGCAGATGGACTTCCCACTGGGAGGAGGTGGAGATAGGTGAAAACTCTCCGACCCTGACCCCCCAACAGCCTAGAGCCTGCGGGTGGCTTTCTTCCAGCAGACGCCCCCAGAACATTGCCACACTCCAAGGGCAGGAGGGAGCA